AAAAGACATTTTGACACAAAAAAAAAGACATTTTTGATCCTAGACTCTGACCCACAGCCTGAAACTGCTCGAGTGGCAGGGCGCACCAAGCTTCACCTGGTGGGCTTAGGAACTCTTGAAAGGCTTGAGAGGGTTTAGGGTTTAGGTTTAAGGTCGCTGTAGTACAGCACAGAAGCCGGCTCATGAGTTTGAGCCGCACTCATCGGTTCTGATGGGGCCCAAACATCCGAGCACCCGCTCCACCAAGTAGGCCCCTTCCCCCATCGTGGGAGCCCTGAGGAGCCGAAATCCCTACACCCATGTACTGGGAGCCTGAAAGCAAGACTGAAGCCATCGTACATTGGGCTGCCTCGCCAGGGATCCCACGCAGCCGTCCCCGCCAGGCAGGGTCTGGGTTTCGAGTGAGGCCTTCGTCCGTTGTTGGGTCTGAAGGTGCCGTGAAGGGCGAGCGGTGGTGCTTCGAAGTTTACATAGGGGTTTCCGAAAATAGGGGACCCTAGTATACCACCCTAAATAGTAGGATCCCTATTATAAGGACCCCCAAATAAGGTACCCTTATTTTCGGAAACTCCCACATAGGTATTTGGATGTGGCAAGGCGAAGTGCACCTTCTAGCACCGGCGCAGCTCACACGAAGCAACGAGAGTTGAAATCTTGGTTCGACGCCTGAAGCCTTGTGTATTGATTCTCTTGACCACGAAAGCACAAATTGTATATGACATCGGAAACTTGGGGTTCCGTTCTGGGTGAAGCTTAGCATGGGCACTGGCAGCTTTGACCGGGGCCATCTCCCATCTTGAATTCCTGCCGAACCCGATTCTGAGAACTGAGACAACGTCCAGGCGCTTTGCAGCATCATGAAGTGCAGCAGGCATGATCCCAGCGCGGCGGTTTCAAGATTTTCGTGGGCCACGCAGTAGAAGCTTACAGGTAAGGCTGTGGGATTTGGGACTTTCCGGACCTGAATGCCTGCCATCTGGAAATCACACGCTTCGATCCAGCGTTAGTGCAAGACACCCTTACGTTGCTCGTCCACAACTTCTGGCCCGTCGAATCTTCCCCATAAAATTCCCCGCAACCCTGACTTAGCGGAGGTCGGACTGTCCGGCACTCAGCGGGTCTTGGTGGATCCGTTTTGAGACCATCTCTCGGCTCCCCAGTCGTGATCCCAGGATTCCTGGATCCGCAGACCGCCAAGGTGCAGGGACAGGGTTCCAGGGACTTGGAGGTATACGGCTTCGGGGAGAGAGAGTCGGCTTGGCTTCCTTGCAAAAGTGCGGGAAGGTTCTCAGGATGACGATTGCGTCTCCGGCTTCGTCCAGCCGCGTTGTTCGGTCAACATGGCATGAAGGGCACAGGCAACCTAGAATTTGGAAGCCGACCCTATACCTTGATTGACATCAAATCTGAGCGGGGCCCCGTTTTATAAGGATACCTTACCTCCTAAACCTATTTTCGACCATCTGTCTTCCGTACCGCGAGGGAAGGCTTCCGGCAAATAGAAATCTGAGCCTGCAAGGCTCCAAAGAAGAGAAGGCTCAGAGCCCTGAATTTTCTGCCCCACACCCACAATGTGCAACTTTTTCAGGTGCTGCGAGCAGGGCACCCTTACCTGCCATGCCGAAGACGACAAAGATGGCCCGCGATTTCTGCAAGTCTGCTCACAGTCTTTGTGTCTCCTGCGTCTTCCGGGACATCGTGCCTTCCGGCAGAGACTGTTGGGAACTGCAGTTGTGTCAATGCAAAAAGCCGGCCAGTCTGCCAACATCGGGCGCGGGCTGAATGCAATGAACCTGGAGCTGCCGTTGCACCCGGGACAGAATTAAGAGGGGAAGGGGGCCTTGCTTAGAGCTGCAGAGCTGCGGCATACAGGGTGCTTCGGACTGCCAGACTCGCTGGTTCATCGGCTTTGGAAGTCTCGTTTTCAATTTTCAGTTTTTCGACAGTGGCTAACAGGCGGATCCGGCGGATTTTCCTGCTTTGATCAGTTGCCGTTGGCCGTGTCTCGACAGCGACTTTGTGATGGAGTCGATGTGTGGTGTCCATTGCGTTTTTGTCGGATCCGGCTTGTTGGTGAAACTTGTGGCTTGTGCACTTCTTGGGTCGGGTCGCAGTGTTGAGGTTGGGTGCGGTGTATTGGTACGGGTGAAATCACACACATGCCAGACTGTCAGCACATCAGTTTCAGCGAGAAACAGATACACACCATCCATGCATGCCGGTACCTTTGACAGCAATAGGATTCCCTAACACTAAACCAAGCCGTACGCCGTTGAAGAGAGTCTCGATTTGCAGCCAGACAGATAGCTCGGCGGCATTCATCCACAGCTGCTTCCTCTTTCGTGCATCTTGAAGGCATGAAAACTGGAGGTTCTTGTGCAATAAACCCTAAACCCTAAACCCTAAACCCTAAACCCTAAACCCTAAACCCTAAACCCTAAACCTCTTGTGCAAGCCCGGGATCCCTGCTACAGTGAGGTCGGTGCAGGACCGCCCTGCTCCTGATGGCCAGGCCGGCAAAGCTCATCCGTTCTCTGCTTGAGCCTGCAGGTCCTGAAGGGATACTTGGAGGTTCACGGGTAGTTATAAGTAGGGTAACTATAATTATAGCCCATATTAGGGGACTTAGAACCCCACTTATAACTACCCAAAAAAACCTCCAAGTAGTTGAGGCTTCCGTTCTTGAGCAGCTTCCGGCCTCTTGATGTTCTTGGCTTGGACTTGGTGCGATGGTGCAGAGCTGTCAAGCTAAGAGGCTTGGCGTCTGAAGCTTACGACTCAAAGTTGAAGCATTACTTCGAAAGCAGGGTCAAAGCCTGGATCGCGGCATTGTCGGCTACGGCTACAGTTTCTGTCTTTGAGCCGTCCGACAGTTTCAGTTAGCTTTTGTCGAACCCCATGATCGAGGAAATCAGGATTGTCTTCGATTCCATACTGGCTCTTCGGAGCTGCATGCCCTAAGCCCTACTCACTAGTCCCTAAACCTGGAAGTCATGCCAAACAGAAGGTGACTTCGCAGCTGGCCCATCAGCTGAAGGCCGAGAACTTGCGGTGGTGGGGACGGGTTTGGGTTCACAATAGAGTTTGGGGTTCCGTAAGCGATGAGTGTGAGAATTTGGAGTTCATCAGGCACGCTTCTAGCACCCTAGTTGTCAAATCTTGCGCATGAAGCTGATGATGAGCTTCTGCCTCTTCCGAGGGTTTCTCTTTTGAACCCGGCTCGAAAAAATTGAGCATTCACTTCCCTAGTTGGGCGGTCAGGCTATTCCGACGAGCATGGCAAAGTCCGGAATGATGAATGGTGATTTAAGTTTGTATAGTCGTGATTAATTATTCGGATTTTGATGATACCTGTGAGTATGCGTGGTTAGTGGCATTAGGACTATGTCATAATCAGTCTAAGTAGCTAGCAGTACAGGGTAGGGTGAGGAGAAGCAAATTTGTAACCGGTTTCTGCAGCACCGGATGCTAAAAATATGATTGGCTTCAGTCGCTCAGGGTTAGCTTGCTTGCTTTGATTGAGCTGGATCTTGGTACCGCGTTTTAAAATCAAGATCAAAAGCCCACAGGTCCGGTCTAAGGAACTCAGCAGTGCTGTTGTGAACTGGTGATCGCTTTGACACTGGCCATAGCCAACGGTTGTGGAATATTGCTCCAGACCTTACAGATTGCCTAGTGCAGCCAGCCTGTTCCCGGATTCGCCTTGTCAGGACCTGCAGGCTGCAAATGGGCGGCTTGTCGGAAAACCGGACATCTGACAGCCTCCGAAACCATGAAACGCACAAGACGCTCGGGGAGACCTCACTGTTTCGGGGCTGCAGAGGGGCCAAGGCCTGACGGTATGGGAGTGTTCTCCGTTGCAGGTCTAGCTGATTCTGGCCCTAGGTTCAGGGGTGGTTTAAGGCCAACGGCTTCGCAAGAGGCTCCACTCTAGACTGACTGTTGGTGCTAGGACGGCCTTGATCAGAACGACATGGTCTCACCCTTCGTTGGATGTGCAGGCTCCCACACCTTATACCCTGAATGCTCGAAGGGCCTCTTGAGGGGCTCTGTTAGCCTTGGCCTGCCTTGCGCAAGCATTCGGAAATCCTGACTCCCGGCGATCTTTGCTGCAAGCATCCACAATCTGATCCTCCGTGCTATCCAATCGAAGGCTGGAATCAGAGCAACCGACCTGTGTTTCAATCTTTGAGACAAGGAGCAACCGACTGGCGTCGAACGCTCCGAGCCAGCCCTCCGAAGCTGAAGCAACCGATTGCTAAGAAAAGCCGAGCTGGTTGGAGCCCTGTCTGCCCCAAACCCCGAAGTGCAAAAATGCGGCGCCCGAACCCCTAAACCCTAAACCCTAAACCCTAAACCCTAAACCCTAAACCCTAAACCGTGCAAAACACCGTGAGTAACTTCAAACCCAGAGCCCCAACCCCGAAAGCTGAAACCGCCTCGCGCCTGAACGGTGCCAAGGACCGCTGAAGCCCGTGAGCGGCTACTTCGACAGACCTCCCAAGGCCGGGGTTTCGTTAGCAAAGCAGGCTGTGATTCCCGTCTTTGGTGGGTTTAGGGTCCAGGGCTTTTAGAGTACACTCAGGGTTTTGGGTGAGGGAGCTCTAGGCTTCCAAGGGCTTTCTGGGCATCTGTACGGACTTCGCTCGAACATCCAAGAGCTCCGAGATCGAGAAGCTTGTTTTTGTTGTTTTTTTTTTAATTTTTTTTTGCCGCAATCGATTCCCAACACCCCGAAACCATAAACCCTACACCGTAGGGGTAACGCAGCAACGCGAAAGGAAACAGGCGCTCCACACAAAGCCTACACCTTAACCCGTAACCCCCAATGGCTCTAGACTCTACTTGGAGGTTCATGGGTAGTTATAGGTCCCTAATATGGGTTATAATTACAGTTACCCTACTTATAACCCTACTTATCGCTACCCATGAACCTCCAAGTAATCCTTCTTGAAGCCTCGAGCGCAGGACCGAGCGAGGCCTCGCAAACCATGGCTCGCGCCAGTTTCTCAGCCTTGGACCAGACCTGGCATGCTCAGCGAAAGGCCTTGCTATAGCTGTTTACAATAATTTAAGGGTTACTAGTTACTACTGGTACTGTAAGGGTGTCTACAAGGGTTACACGCCTTTTTTCCATAAGGACGCGGACGCACAGGCTTTGCAGTAGGACATCGAGGTTCTTAACACGATTCTCAGAAGAGAAACAAGAGGGTTGTAGCGCCCGCCGGAAACGATTGCAAGTTGGGCAAGGTTTTCACTCAGCCAATCATCATCATGACGTCATCATCACCATCACCATCATCACCATTACCATCATCATCAACAACATCATCATCACTGTCATCATCACTGTCATCATCACCATCATCATCATAATATCGTTGTGCACCATGTTGTGCAAAGATGCGAAACTGCTGTAAACAGCAGTGTCTCGGGCATGCTCTCAGACTGCATGCAGGCTTGTGACAGTCCGCCTTATGCCAGAAACGTCAAACATCCTTCTGGATTTGATTGTCTATGTTCTGGCCAAGTATGTGCTGTAAATACCTGCAGTTTGGGCATGCTCAAGGCGTGAATGGTTGTGATTGTGCGCGACGTCAAGCATCGTTCTGTAGTCACTCCAATCCCATGGAAACATCCGATATGTTAGTTTTCGTTTTGCTCCAATCTCATAGAATCATCCGGCAGGTCATTTTTCCAATTGCCCCAGTCTCTTGGAATCATCCGACATGATGTGAGCATGCAAAAACACCAAGAAAGTAGCATGTGGCCCCATGTGCCCCCCGGCCGCCTTATGGAAAAGGATAGCATAGCGTTTTACGAATACGGATTACTATGCGGACTGCCACAAGGGTTGCTACATGCTTGTTCCTGTATGCTGTGCTGTAGAATCTATTGTATGAAAATATACTGTGTTGTATGTTATGACAGATGCTGTACTGTCTATATTTTGTTGTACTGTATAAACTGTACTACACTGTACTGACTACACTACATTGTTTCATATTACATTATATTCTGAAATGTAAAAAATATTTTGTTATTCTAGGTTAGAGTACATTTACTTTATTATATTGTTGTGTTTTAATATATGATACTGTATTATATTTGCCATATATTAAAATGTATTATTATATCGTATGGTACTGTGTTACATTATACCAACACTTATTGGATCGTATCATGTCATATCATATTCTATTCTGCTGTACTCTATTATATTATACTGTATGGTACTCTCATCTCTTGCTAAAATACAGCATATTAGCTTGTACTATATTATATCATATTATGTTCTATTACACTTTATATTGTAGTGTAATGTTTTGTAACATGTGTACACGCCGGCTTCCGAGGTAGAGGAACCGCCGCAGCCTCGGCTCATTCTGATTCCAGGATGGTGAGCGCTCCAAGACTCAGTCACAAAACCTGATGTGCCGTGCCCGAAAGGGAGGGGATTTGAGGTCTGTAGTTGGTCAAGACTTGATGACCTGAAATCCTCATCCCACCGGTTTCAATTCTGCATCCCGAAGGATTATGAACGGTATGTAAGAAAGGCTTGAGATGGCTTGCTGAACCCTGCGAGCGATGCGAGAAGGAAGGAACGACCCGAAGAACGAGAAGAATGGGAGGAAGGACGGAATCAGGGAGGCAAGGGGGAAACCAAGGGAGCGAGCAAGGATACACAAAAGGATGGGAAATGAAGGAAGCAACGAATGAAACGTCGTAGGAAGGAAGGGTACTTTACAAGAACCAAGCACGAACAGGCAAGAAGCATCCACATTCTGGGCAAACTTTTGCAGCTCCGAAGCCTA